TACTGGTCCATCACCCGCCACCTGGAGTATACGCTGCTCACACGCCGCCGCATCTCCAACATCATGATCGCTCTCACCTGGGCGCTCTCTGCCGCCATCTCCCTCGCCCCCCTCTTCGGCTGGGGGGAGACCTACAGCCCCGAGCATGAGCGCTGCCAGGTCAGCCAGGAGCCCTCCTACACCATCGTCTCCACTGGCGGGGCTTTCTACCTGCCCCTCTGCGTGGTGCTCTTCGTCTACTGGAAGATCTACAAGGCGGCCAAGTTCCGCATGGGGGGCCGCAGGAGGAACGCTGTGGTGCCCCTGCCCGAGGCTGCCCAGGTAAGGGTGGGGGACGGCAAGGAGAGCCCCCACTGCCTCCTCCAGGCACCTGCACTCCTGCTTCTTGTCTGCTCCCAGCCGTCACCCCGGCATCGGTGGTTTCGGCACAGCGAGAAGACTGAGACATGCCCTGGGGCTCTCATGTGAATTTAGTTCTGTTACAGACCAGACATGAGCAGTAATTAGTCAAAAAGCACCACTCTTGGAGAAGTTTTATTCTCATTTTTTTCTTAAGTATGCCATAGGAGTAAGTAAAGACATAGCATTCACTGCCAGTCTGGAGAGCCATTTAAAAATCATCTCTTTAGTCTGAATTTGCCATTCCTTGGGGTTTTTTCCTCTTTATTTTTTTTACAGTGTTGATGGGGTAAACAAAGACATAAACAGATCCCTAGGTCATGTACAGAGTAAATGCATGCAAATTTATCTATCAGCACGGACTTTGTGTGGGTTCTATCAGTGTCTGAATAGATTTTAATAAGCAAATTACACATTTCATTTATGTGCGTGGGCTATTTTACCTTCAATACTGGGAACATATTGCTCACTGCATAGTGCTGAAGCAATGAGCAATGAATTGTTTCTCTGTTAAAATTACCAGCTGTCTTAAAACCCATGTTCTCCTCCTTCTTATCCCAAACATTGCCTGTAATCCCGCAAAGCCCTAGTCATGTGGGAGGTCTCATTCATTTCGGGGATACACATAGCTGACAGGAAAGCTGTGTCCCTGTGGAAGGTGGGGGTTGGCCCCTTGTGTCCCGTTAAGTCAGACTCTCTGCGTGATGACACTGTCACCAATGCCGTGTCGCCAAGGTGCTCGGTAGTGCTCTCAGTAAACTCTCTCTGCTTTCTGTCACATATTCTTACTCTCAGTCCTATCTGGGGAAATGATTCTTTACAGTACATTTTTGTGATTGCATGTTGTACTTGCTAAGTCCGGTCCCTTCCCAATAACAAAAGATGAGCTGTGTGGATGTTACGGATACCTAAAGAGACATGGAACATTTCTGTTCAATGGGGCTAATCCTGCGGACCCTCACTAAATCCCTCTAACTTTGATTTGGAGTTATGGTAGGAAACATGTTATTATGGTCACGAATAAAAGTCTGTAGGTTGTGTCCCCTGATTCTAGCAAGAGATGACAGCACGGGCAATTATATGCGGTCAGACTTGCAGATTTGGATCATAATGCCTTGAAGATGTTTTTAATATAAGTTGATTTATGAAGCTGTCTTCTATGCAAAAGCATTCTTTTTTTTTCCTACGGCCTTCATCCCCTGGTTTGCACCAAATTTCTTTCCAAGTTGTTATAAGTATGATGAATGTATTGCTCGGAATTAATGTATAATCTTTCCAAGCACAAAAGCTAACTGAGTATTTGTAGTGGTTTTGCATGCTTTGTCTTTTGCATACACACATACTCATACAGGACTAGTTGTTTGGAATCTAAAATTCTGGCAAGTTAAATGAGCTGAGGCATTGCTGCTTAAGTTTTAGCCTATACAGAGATACGTGGTTGGTACGGCAGTTTTAACATGAAAAAAGTCTGGCTCCTAATTGTCATAGTTCTGTCTGCAAAAGCCCTTGCGTGGGCACAGCTAGGCTGGCAGGTAAGTGCTTTATGCTGATGCAGTGTCTGGGAGCTGGTTTAGGCTATACTGACAAAAGAGCTGCTGTTAGTGTCAGCTGAATACCCATTTTGGAGGGGTTGCCAGTATAGCTGTTACTGCAATACCAGCACATGCTCAAGCAAGCAGTTCTTCATATTTGCAGTGATTGACATATTGACTTCTCCTTTTATAACAGTGATTCTTGAATCTGCAATTGGTATATAGTGGCAACCTTCCCCATTGTCCCAGCAGCTTCGTTTGCTGACTTAAATAAAAAGACTGTTGTGATGCACATGCAAACCTTTAGTCATCATCTAAAGGAAGAGCTGATGCCCAGCTGCACACGTGTACATTAAACGAACCCATGGATCAAGGGAGTTGGCATTCAGGATGCATTTCTTCTCAGTGTTCTTTCTAAGTTAAGAGACTAAGACTTATTCACTGAGTTTTATCCTGATACCATTTAAGCTTATCGCAGCAGGATCCATCATGTCCACAGGAAAAGTAGCAGTTCCCCAGTGAATTCTGGAGAAGAATCTTCAGACACATCACTACCGTTCCTTCGGCAAAACCAATTTTTGTTTAACATGTAAACACAAAGATAACATTGCCAGGGTATGTGACAAACCTGGTGAGGTGATTCAGCTGTGCTTCTCGACATCCAGGGGTAATTAGGCTGTCAGTGTCAGCACTGTCCTTCTCTCTGATGGGGCAAATGCTGTTCCACTTCTCTTGTTTTGCCCATCAACTCACTCTAACTTTCCGTTTCTTTCTCCTCTAATGTCTCTCCTACCTTTACTTTCTTTCGTCCCTTCTTTCTCTGAGAATGCTCACCTCTCATGCTCACCCTGCAACATTTTTCTTTTGTCACTTTTATTCTGAGTGTGAAATGCCCTCTGCATCTATGTCAGTTCTCACCTCGGGTGCCCCGCACTAGTTGGTCTGACGTTAGAGGGGCTTTCGGTAGCCGATGCCAAAGGCTGGAGGTGAGTAGTAACAGTGGTGATCCCTGCTGAGAGAGACGTCTGTGTTGCATTTAAGAATCAGCTGTCAGGTAGCCCTGAGTTGGAACTGCGTGTCAGGGCTACGGTTTGTGGCCTGAGGTATACCCAGCAGTGTAGCTGGTTAATACTAGCAAGTTAATTTAACGAGGAAAAGATTTGAGGTCATAGTACTCATATGCCAGTAGAAATGCCTTGAAGAAACCAATGCATCAAGTGGAACAATTATGATGATACCTTGATGTTTTTGCACAGTGCTTTTCAGCCAACAGAGCCAGGTGCCAAAGCCCTTTGCAGGTTGCCACTGCGTGTGTGTGTGTATATATATATATATATACACACACACACACACAGAGAAAGGGCAGTTGTCTCCGAGCTGAGAGTTGGCATACATATCTTATGTTTCTGTACTCCTATAGAGGTGCTGAATAGAATAGTTACAAAATAACTATTTTGAGTTGTTTCTGGTTAAAATTTTACTTGTGTTTTTGAAAAACACATTGTAAAGTCTTTGAAAAAAATTAAGGTTAAGGGAGATGGACATGAAACATCTGAGCTTCTTCTAGTTTTAATGAGAGCTTGTTTCTTACTTTCCCTTGAAACAAAAAAGTTGCAGAATTGGGACCCTAAATTAGGCTGGTGCTTGTATAATTATTTGTTTGCTAATTATGAAACTCCTTAAAAAGTGAATTCCAGAGTCAATACTGATGTGAGTGACCCTCCTAAAAAAACTAGTGACATACCATCACTGACAGAGAGCTATACTCTCACACCTTGTTGACAGTAGGTAAGAATTCGCTCTGTAAATAGTCCAGTTGAAATAAATGAGACTGCTTGAAAAACAGCAGATACTGCTGCATAGTGCTCTTTTAAATCAATGAAGTCACTTGTAGCATAGGTTTTCCCCATCAAAACCAAGGATGGCAGAACCTGAATGGTAGGATTACTTACATGTAGCAATTGCAGAGTCAGCATTAAATTTTCATGTGAGGAGTTAAAAATCACGTTCTTTTTTTTGTGGGTTTTTTTTTTCTTTCTCCCCTCTCAAAGTACCTTGTTTAGTGTATGAGTAATTAGGCCTGACCCAAACCTTATCAGTTTTGTAAGAGTCCTTCCCACTTCAGATAGTATCAGGCCCCAGAGCTCCAACCGTGCAGTGTTGTTCTGCACCTTGGCCCATTCAGCCTCTCCAACCCACATAACCAGACAGGACAATATGGGAGAGAAAACAGATTTTCCTTCTCTGAAAGAGTCACAGGCCTTCTATTTCTTATTTCTGCCTCTGACTGTACACATAGAAGAGATGGGTCAGGAAGCAAAGTGCAACTGTCCAGAAGAGTGGCAGCAGATGTCAGATAGGAGAAAGGTGGGGCAGGAAACAAAGTGGAGTGGCTGGCGATTTCCTGGGGGAAATGCAGAGCTATTTCTGCTTACAGAAAAAAATCCTGTGAGAGAAAGCAGGTGTTCTTTTCCCTGTCAAATGTACTGTTTGTCATATTGGTGGAGCATCCAAGAAAGTGTAGACATTCCTATGTTTTGATCCTTCATTGTGCATTTCAGTTTCTCGTGTTCTTGTTCAAAGAGCAAGAAGTATGCCAAAGCTGCACTGAGGCAGTAATGATCTTTGCTGAATCACACTGTAATAGGCAAAACTCTGAATTTGTGGTAGTAAGCCAGATTTGACTGATGTTTATCATCTTTACTGTTGTTTTGTTATCGCAGACCCTGGAGGTACAATACAAACACATACACAGTACCTGCCAGGAAGGACCAGCAATAACAATCATTAAAGCTATAAGGAACATTTTAAATCAAGGGATTTCATCAGAAGCTCCTTGGTGGCACGGCATTTTTATAACGCTGCTAGGAACACAGGAATTGGGAACATACAGCTCTAGGAACATACAGCCATTCAGTAGTAGTAATTTACTGGGGACAGACAAACAACAGAAGTGGCATTGAACTGTAACTGCTGATCAACATACAGAAGAATGAAACTAAAACCAAAATTCTTTGTAGAACAATTTGTACTTGAGAGCTCTTTTCCTTCATTTAACTCCATGATACTCTCAGTGGAAAGTGGTTGTCTCTGCACTTCTCAGAGCCTGTTGTCCTGGAAATAGCTGACTTCACGAATTCAGAACCTAATTCTGGCTTCAGAGTAGCAGTCCTTTCATACCAGCTTTTTTCCCCACTGCTCCTGACTCGCAGCTCCTGGAGCAGTGCCTGTGTGAATGGAAGGAAGTCTGTGCCCAAGGCACAGGGTGCTGATAGCCACCGAGGGAGAACAGCATGCAACACCATGCAGAGATGCTCACATATGAGGGATGTCCCCAGTGTAAACTAAGGCATCTTCATGGATTGCTTTAATTTACAGTCTGTGACCACCTTTTCCCCTGTCACAGCCTGCTCACTAGCGCTCATCAGTAGGCCCAAAATGCGGGGAAAGGTTTCATGTTGGGCTTGTCCTTTGTTCCATGTGGCACAGGGATAACAGTCAGGTATTGTGACTTACGTTAGAAATTGGAGTCATGCAAAGCCTCCAGGATTGGCACTGGAAACTGCAGATTTGGTATAGTCAGAGCTGTGTTTAGTTCAAGAAAATCACAACTGGCAAGGCTGGAAAGCAGCTACATAACCTTTTTGGCCTATGCTCGTGTTCAGACAATGCTAAATTGCAGGGGATTACCCCATGCCTGCACAAGGGGGGAATCCTGCAGCATGGTTCCCCCGCCAGCACTCTGTACCACAACAGTGTTTGCCTACAATAGACTGATTTACTTTCCATGTACTTTGTGTGGGTTGGCTTATAACAAACAGCCTTGACGACATAGTCTTGGGGGCTGATAGTTGTAGCAAGGATAATCTTGCACCAACCAGGCCAGGGAGATGAGTCAGGTCTGCAGCAAATCATATAGAGAGCAATAAAAATAAAAAAATTTGAAATTATAATGAAAGGTTGGACTTTCCCAGCTTTGCAATCTGCACTGATACATATTTTCTGTTATGAACAGCACTTCAAATTGTATCTGTGTTTAACTTTAAAAATCTAGTGGACTTGTCCCCTGACGAATCAGTCCCCACAGCAAGGATGAGATGCTGGCAGTCCTGTAGTAGGTGTATATGGTGACCAGGCAGGGAGGGAGCACAGTACCGCAAAGCTGATGCATTTACAGGGGAATTGAGCGCAGGGCCTCGCTAGAAACCCTGTTTGAAGTCTGGTCCCTTTTGCAATAGTACAAGCCAGGAGCAGCTGGCCAGTGGATCCCAGGTGTGCCAAGTGGCAGCTCTCGCGCCGGGGGCTGGCACTTGGAACAGTACCCCTTGCCGGGAATGCCCGAGAGGCAGGTGTCGTGGCGGGCGAGCCTGATGGAGAGCCAACTGAGCAAGGGTCGTTCACAGTGTGTGCGGCTGGTCAGCTGGAAACAACGTATGGGGTGAGCATTAGACACTGATGGTCATGGAAAGCTGAGCTTTCATACAGCTTCCAAGGTTTAAATGCTTGTATACGTCCCGTTGAAGGCTGAAGGACCTTGCTGAGCAGGGATACTAGTTACCTTTTCAAGAACATTTTGTGTATCCTTTTCAAAGGATTTCTTATGGAAAATTGAAGCAAAATATCTCCAGTCTGCCAGGGATATTTACACAGTTTACTTAATGGAAGGTTCCATGAGAGATCCCATTATTTTTCCTAAAGGACCAGGCTGCTATTTGCACTTTTATTATTATTACTGTTATTACAACATTATTCAGAAGTCCCAGGCAGAATAGTCAAAAAATAATTAAAAAAACAGCTATGACAACAGAGAAAGTAGAAATTCTATAGATAGGAAGACAACTGGTGTCCTGTAATTTACAAAAAATACCATGATCTATTTTCACTTGCTGTTTAGTATTCAGAGGCCTGATCTAACAACCAGTGGAGTTTGTGAAAACTCCTCTTGCTTGACAAGGCTGTAAATGCATGCTTCATTAGAGAAAACACCTGAGAACTGTGGTATCTTCTATCAAAATAAATTAAATAAGTTTTTCTCACAATATGTAATTAAGTGGTAAGAGTCGCTACTAGTAAATTCTGCAGTTCGGTCACAAGCCTTCTAAAACCTGAGGTGCCGAAAAGAAAAGGCTCTGATTTGATGATGGCACACTGCAAGCTCTGTCTTTTGAATAGGAGTTGAAGGTTAAATGTAGTACCAAACTATGCCCAGTGCTAGTGGCAAACTCCTTTGTATGGCTCTTCCCAAGAGGCGTGCTTATGTAGCTATTCCTCAGGGCTAAGATGTAATCTTTCAGAGTTGCTTGTCACAAATTTGTCCTCGTGTCATACATTCATCCCTTTTTGCAGAGTGTGATTAAGGATGTGTAGAGCAAGTCCTTCTGCAGACAAATGGTGTGATCCTTGCTACATGAGGGGTGTCCCATTTTAATTGTCAGGACAGATGTGATTTTCATTTTCCTCCATTATTTGCCTGCGCCCATAATCTGCTGCTCTTACATTCTGCAGCCATGTCTCATGTCTGAGGGTGAAGACAGGGATATCCGTCTTGAAGAGTGATTGTCTAGCCATTGCCAGTGCCTCCCTCTCTGAGTTGCTGTGCTCATATTAAAGAGAGGCCCTCCATCTGTTATAAAGCTTGCACAAAAGTGGTGCGCACATGTAGAATATGTAATTAATTTAACAACAAGCCATCTCTGGAGTGGTGTCGAAGTCTTGCAGTTCCTGTAAATTATCAGTTAGGCAAATTTTAGAGCCTCAGGTTGCACCCTTAAACTGTTTATTTTATTGCACTGTCTTTGTTAACTGTAGTGCCTAGAAGAACTTTAAACTCGCAGATACTTTAATCTTCAGATTAAAATCACAAGGGAGTATCTTTTTCTGGATAGACTCTAAGCACATTAATAACTTGTGCCTAGAACCTGTTTGCCGCAGTCCCGCTGCCACCCAGAGCACTGTACTGTACTCACTGCGCAGATGAATGTCTTGCCCTTGGCGAGAGAGGAGGCGACAAGAAGCACCGTCAGCAGCCTGGAGTAGCTCATGTTTTCCTCTCTCTTGTGTTAACTTCTGTTGAAGTCAGAGTTTGAACTGAAGGCTGATTGAAATGGTGTTTTTCTGGCAATGGAGTACTTTTTGTGAGAATACCAAGTAGATCTCAGTGAAATAAAGGACAGGTGACGGAAGAGAGAAGATGAGGACCAGAAAATGCTGCTTCTCCAGCAAAGCTTTTCTTTGATTACTACCAGAGTATTTTATAAGCTAATTCAAAATGGTGGCACAGTGCCTGAGGGTACGTCATTTCAGTGCATCCTTATGCTCCCATTGTCATATACTGTGTTGGCACTGTGACCAGGCTGCAGCTGCTGCAGTGCAATACACTGCTCTGTCCCTCTCCAGGAGGGAGAAGTGGCTGTGAGGAGATAGCCTCTGTCAAGGAAGAGCAGAAGGCACCCGAGTTCTGTCTTTCGTAAGGGACTCTTCTTGATGCATTTATTTTCCACTGAAATATTTCCAAAGTATTCAATTTTATTTCAGGCATTTATGATTTTTTGGGGGTAATGAAATATCGGCATTTTTCAAAGATCAGACACATTTCTTAAAACTTTCTTCTAATTGAAATCCCATTCTTTCATTAACAAAGGTTCTGATGGAAAAATATTCCTGCAGATTTAGCTGAGGTTTTTGGGGTATGCTCTGTCCCTTCTGCAGAACGAGTGGTAGTGCCAAGCTCCTGCACCCACCAGGGATGGGATTTTGAGCTCTGCATCCATGCAGTTAGGCTGAAGAAAATCTTGTAGTTGATGAGCGGGCATTTGTTGCAGGTGCCTCTCTAATACCTTAGGGAAATGACCCAAAGGGCCTGCAATGGAATGAAATTCATTTACGATTCAGGCCTGAGAAACTCTAAAGGTCATGTAGCAGCGTAGGAGAGTCTAGTTTAGGGATAGGCAGAAGGCACGTGCCTTTGTTAGCCTTCCTTAACAACCTGATTTCCCACTAGGTATCAAGGCACCCAATAAAATAAACTGAAAAAGAATGCCTACAACACACATGGCATCAGTTACTCTCTATTTAGCGTTGTTTGTCAGTCACACTCAGCAGCTTTTTCAACATAATGAGAAGTCTGGTAATTTTGGCACTCTGGGGCATTTTCTTTCTTTTAGCATGGAAGCAACAGAGTTGAGGCCTTTTGTGGTAGGTGCACAGATGTCGTGCTGTCATTTAAAAGTAATACTTCACTCAAACAAATTGTCATGGTAAGAATCCATGTTTGCTTTTGTTTTGAGGTGAAGGAAGCTTCGCGTGAACCACAGATGGTGTTTACAGCTCGTCATGCAGCTATCACTTTCCAGACAGATGGAGAAACGTGGAGAGAACAGAAAGAGAAAAAGGCAGCTCTGATGGTTGGCATCTTAATTGGAGTCTTTGTACTGTGCTGGATCCCTTTCTTCATCACAGAATTAGTAAGTCCCCTCTGTTCCTGCAACATCCCACCCGTCTGGAAAAGCATCTTTCTTTGGCTTGGCTACTCCAATTCTTTCTTTAATCCTCTCATTTATACAGCATTTAACAAAAATTACAACAATGCCTTCAAGAACCTTTTTGTAAAGCAGAGATAAAAGGGGACACAGAGCAGAAAATGATTCCTTTATTGCATAATACAGAGATTTCTTGAGGGAAACGTGCCTGTGAAATGTACAGTTTTCATGCGCAAGAGCTACTTGAGGGGATTTAGGAACAATGAAAAAGAAGATGGAAGGTGTTTGGATATAAACCTACTGACAGTTTACAGTTCCCCTTTGGAAATATACGCTGCTCCAGGGTTTGGTGTCTGCTTTTTCAATCAATGTGTGTTAAGTGAAGCACTGTATGTGTCTTAACACCATGACTGTCAAATCTAACTGGACTGATCTCATCTAACCAGCTACAGGTGCCATTCTGTACCTCGATCATCATCAGCAAAGGCACTGGTGGGAACTGCTAATTGAGCAATACTGAAATGTTTGCGATACGGGCAGGATGGTGGCGTCATTTTTGAGATTTATTTGGAAGGGAATAAACATGCTTTATTCAATCAGTTGTGGAATTGATGTGAAATTAAAATAGATGACAAAGCAGCTCAAAAACACGCCGTAGTATGACTGAAGGGCTGCATGTTCTCTAGCAAGCAGCAGTCCTTGATGGGAAGTCTTGGTGAAATACAGGTCAGTTAGTTATGTCCTCTGGAGTTAGGTGTAATTTTAGAGCCACATGTAAAATTATTCAGAACTACTGAGAATGTGCTCGCACTGCTTGCACCGGAGGAGGATCTAGTGTGGAGTTTTCACCTGCATTGTACTCTCGCACCCTGCAGGGCTCAGGCTCTCCCTGTTTTCTGAAACCCAGGTGAGTTCAGGATAGACATCTGATACCTCCAAGTGAAGGCGGACTGTATGCATTGTTATTTCATGCTACCATAAAATTAAGCATGCATTTGTGTTACAAACACCAAACATGCTGTATTCAATCACCAGGTTTGCTGGCAGCAACACGTGGCTGCTTGGCAGTGGTACCTGAGTATCTGCACTGCGCTGTCTGGGGTCCTTGCACCATAAATGTTGTGCTCATCACCCTACCTACCACAATTTGTCAGTTTGCATCAAACTTCCTCCTACTGTAAGAAAGGTATTGATGCCATCAGGTCCACATGACTCCAAAAACTCTAAAGTGACTCAAAACCAAGCCTTAAATTATTTTTCCAAGCTCTAACGAACACCCCTGTCCCAACAATACATACATAAATAAATAAAAAGGTAAGTATTTCCATGCATACTTTCCAGCCAAGTCTCTCTCTCTCTCTCTGTATTTGTTCCTCTAGTGGGTTTCTCTTCCTCCCCTTCCCTGAGCGGGATGCTGACAGCATCTCTTGAGTATTTCTAGCATGGCAGCTTTTTACTGACACAGAGTCCCAGCACTCTCTCCTGTCTCCTCCTAAAGCTTCTTCAGTGTCGTGGTTTAACCCCAGCTGGCAACTAAGCCCCACCCAGCTGCTCGCTCACTCCGCCCCGGTGAGACGGGGGAGAGACTCGGAAGGGTAAAAGTGATGAGAAAACTCATGAATTGAGATAAAGACAGGTCAATAGGTAAAGCAAAAGCCGCACACAAAAGCAAAGCAAACCAAGGAATTCATTCACTACTTCCCATCGGCAGGCAGGTGTTCAGCCATCTCCAGGAAAGCAGGGCTCCATCACGCATAACAGTGACTTGGGAAGAAAAATGCTATCACTTCGAAGGGTCCCCCCCTTCCTTCTTTTTTGCCTCAGGTTTATGTGCTGAGCATGACGTCATATGGTATGGAATATCCCTTTGGTCAGATGGGGTCAGCTGTCCCGGCTGCGTCCCCTCCCAGCTTCTTGTGCCCCCCAGCCTTCTCACTGGTGGGGTGGGGTGAGAAGCAGAAAAGGCCTTGACTGTGTGTAAGCACTGCTCAGCAGTAACGAAAACATCCCTGTGTTATCAACCCTGTTCCCAGCACAAATCCAAAACACAGCCCCATGCCAGCTACTGTGAAGAAAATTAACTCTATCCCAGCCAAAACCAGCACATTTAGGTACTGTAAGGGCAAAACGTCATAGCTCCAATGGAGCTGGGTGACATCGCAGCTCCGTCTGAAGCTGAGTTTTAACTTTTTACACTGCCTTTCTCTGCCAGTTTTGTGTTTTCTTCTGTTTTAAGCAACTCTGATTCAAAGCATACCCTCAGGCAAACAACACAAAATTGCACGGAATGACTAAAAGTCACGAATTTCAGCTCCAGCAATATACACCACTGGCATCTTGATCTCACTGCAGTGCATCACACTCAGCCTCATCTCTGACAGTTACCAAGCTAATGGGCATCGCATCGACGCGAGTGCTGACCACGAAGCTCCTACCAAAGTCTTGGTATCCTGGCAGTCTCTCACAGGCCACAGCAGCTAGGTGTATTTCTGTCTGCTAGGGGCTGATGTACTTAACAGCCATGTCAGAGAGGTATTATCAAATGTCTGTATCTTGTAGGCTGAAAAACAGAAAAATGATGGAGACTTTGCTTAACTGTAAAGCAGAGTTTATTGCAGTGTAGCCTGACATGATTCACGTACCTGGTGATGTCAGTTTGAGCTTGATGTCAGGTATATGGGCAACTTAGACCAAGGCAAGTTCCAGCTCCTTTCTAAATAAGTGATTTAAACAACGCTGTCAAAGCGCACGTCCCTCCAGTCCCTTAAGGCAACTGCCTGGCCTCATGTCACTAGCGCAGTGTACGGGGAGCTCAGGCACTGCTGTACTTCGCACCCGGCAGTACTGTGAAATTCCAGTGTGACCTCCTGTGTCTCCAGCCACAGTCACCTGTCTATCATGTACCTGCAGTGGGTGCTTCTCCTCTCAATTTCAATGAGAATGAAGAAATTGTAATAACCTAGAATTTCAAAAAGTTGTTAGATAGTGGCACAGACTTTTAAATGACAACTTAAGTAACTCCCTTGTGAATCTCAATTTGCCTGCATATCGAATAGCCACAGTTCAAACTAGTGTTTCGAGGCTTAATTAAACCGGAGGGAAGATACATATGTAAGAGTCCAAAAGTTACTAAAACCTGCGAGTCTTATTAAGAACCACTGATGAATTTTTTAAGTGAATTGAATTTTTCGTCTAAGCTAGTCACTGCTCTAAAAACCTTAAAATCCAAACAGATGACCTGGAAGGAGAAAATGAAGACGTCTTTTTAAGCTGGTTGTTGAAGAGCATACGAATCTCCTGCATGTGGCCACTCCTGACGTTTCCAATGATCATGCTTTGGCCAAATTTCAGTGCCTGTAAGACAAGCAGTTACCAGCATGCAGGTCTAATTATCAACCCTGCTGCACTGAAGTTAAGGCCCATCACAGCCTGTGGCTGCAGCAGCAGCAGCGAGAACTTTGTTCCAACGCTAAGCGCCAGCTGCCTGGAGAAACACCAGGCTCTAGTTCCAGTGCAGGAGCCCTTCCAAGAAGCAACACAGATTTTGGGATATGTTTTACTGTGGCTTGGCATGTGGAACTTGAGAAACACCATGAAGCCAGAAGGCTCCTGTGCAGTTCAGCGCAGCTGTACGCTTGCACTGGTATTACTGCAAATGCTGAAGATGCAGCAGGGCTGTCTTCAGCTAGCTTGAGAAGTGGTAGCAGGGCTACTGATGTAGCATACCGCGTGGCTCTCCTCCTCCTCAAAGATGAATTTAGCTTCCTTAGGAGGTGAATCGGAGCCTCTGTAATTTTACTGTGAGAAGTTCTCAAGATAACTAGTTCTGCCCACCGAAGCATCTGTGAGAGCAGTGAGTTGTTACAGAATGACAGGCTTCTGCTGAAAGCAGCCTGGTTTCATACTCACCCAGAGGAGACGAGAAACAAGCGGAACGTTCATTTCACTATAGCGGTTTTAGAAAGCTCTTAGCAAAATCGGCTTCCCACACCGGCTCTGTGCACCTCTGCGTTTAGAAGAGCAGCGGCACATACTCAGGATTTAAAATCCTGGATTTTAATCACATGGAATCTGAGCTTAGCGTGAGGGAAAGAAATACGTTATCTGGGGTTATGGCCTAGCCTGCTGGGTGCTGCTTCCCGCTTAAAGCCAGAAAAGGCATTACCATCCCCTGGCCTTCTGCACAGCCAGCGCAGCCTTTCACCCACGGACGCGTGTGCCAAACCCAGTGACTCGGTGCAATGGGAGCATAACTGTTGGATAGTCATCAACCTTGATTAAAAAATGTTGGAACTGTGGATAATTTTCTACCTCCCTTGGTACTTTATTTCAGTGATTAATTACTCTCATTATTAAAACTTGCAACTTTATTTTAATTGAAAAAAGAGGAAAGGGTAAAATCAGGCATGCAAGCATTCCTCTTTCTGGCACTTCCAAGCATTAGAGTTTAGATCTTACATTATTGCTGTGTTGTTATCCTTGGCCTCAAGACGGACCAAAGAAAAAATGGAAAATACAACTCCTATGTGAACTAAGAGAAATGTTACAGTATCTTGATTGTCCAAATAGAAAAAAAAAAACCAAAAAAACCAGCTATTCTAAAGAAACATCATTCGGTAGTGCTTAGACGTACCGTCATTTATTTCCCCAACTAGAAGCTGCCGCTTTGGAGTACACCAGTCATCTCTGCTTGTACACAGTGGACTACTAGTTTTATCTCCTGGCACTGAATCTGCTCCTAGAAAAACTCACTGGAGACTATTGCTCAGCAGAAAGGCATTGCTGTATCCTGCGGCAAGGCTCTGAGACCCCTGTAGCTATACGGAAGTTAAGGCCTCCGTTTGTTGTGCTGTTGGAATTCAGATTGTGCAGAAATCAAAGAGCTTTGGAAGATGAATGTGAACAGAAAATGCTAATAACTTCCTGTGCTCCTCCTTGCTCCATGAAACCCACATCCATGCTACAGCTTCCACAATGAAAGCTCTTCAGTAATTTATTATTGTACCCAGGAGCTCCTGATCTTTCAACCGTACTTCAGTCTCTCCTTCTAAATAGCTGTTTTACATGAGAATTCCCAAGCCCTTCCTACATGAAGATTGATGCAAGAAGAGATGAAGGGTTTGGCCCTGAGAATACAGTTG